ATGCAAAATCACTGGACAACCTCGACCAGAATACAGCTGGTTCAGAGGCTGTAAGGAGTTAGTGGATACCAAGAAATATACCATACTTAACAAGGGTGACACTCAAGTTCTAATTGTGAATGATCTTACAGCCGAAGACGCAGACGAATATACTTGCCGTGCTACAAACTCTTCTGGAACTAAAAGTACCCGTGCTCAGCTGCAATTGAAGAGTAAACCAAGAGTTTTCATTCCACCAAAATATCATGGTGGTTATGAAGCTCAAAAGGGTGAAACAATTGAGATAAAAATCCCTTACAAGGCTTTCCCAAGTGGAGAATCCCGTTGGTACAAGGATGATGAACGAATCGAAGACAGCGGACGATTCAGCATCACAACTGATGATAAATTCGCCACTCTAACTATTCGAGATGCTTGTCGTGAGGATTACGCTCAATACAGAGTTGTTGTAGAAAACTGCGTGGGACAAGATAGCGGCATTTTAACGGTTACCGTTGCTGATAGACCGGAGCCTCCACGCTTCCCCATAGTTGAAAACGTTTTGGACGAAGCTGTAATACTTTCATGGAAACCACCAGCATTAGATGGAGGCAGCATGGTTACAAGTTATACTGTTGAGAAGCGTGACATCAATGGAGGATCTTGGACGCCGTGTGCTAAGACAAGGTTCTGTTATTTAACTGTAGAAGGATGCAGAGCTAAGAATACGTATGAATTCCGAATTAGTGCTGAGAACAAACATGGTGTCTCCAAACCATGTGAGCCAACTGCTCCTGTAGCCATCCCCGGAAATGATCGGCAGCGTAAGCGCAATTATGAAGTCGATGAAACAGGAAAGATCATCCGCGGTCGTGGAATAGTATCGGGTAACTACGATAACTATGTCATTGACGTTTGGAAGCAGTATTATCCTCAGAACATCGAAATAAAGCACGAGTCAGTTCTGGATCAATATGATATTCATGAGGAAATTGGCACCGGCGCCTTCGGTGTAGTTCATCGCTGCACAGAGAGGGCGACCGGAAACACTTTCGCGGCTAAGTTTATCATGACTCCACACGAAGCTGATAAGGACACAGTACGGAAGGAAATCAACACAATGTCCGCCTTACGTCATCCAAAGCTCATAAACCTCCATGATGCTTTCGATGATCAAAATGAGATGGTTATGATATATGAGTTTATGTCCGGTGGAGAACTATTCGAGAAAGTGGCTGATGACTCGAACAAAATGTCAGAGGAGGAAGCTATCGAATACACTCGACAAGTTTGCAAAGCTTTATGCCATATGCATGAAATGAATTATGTTCACTTGGATTTGAAACCAGAGAACATCATGTTTACCACCAAGAAAAGCAATGAACTCAAATTGATCGATTTTGGTCTCACAGCCCATTTGGATCCTAGGAATAGCATCAAAGTAACAACTGGTACTCCAGAGTTCGCAGCTCCAGAAGTTCTGAACGGAGAAACTGTCGGTTACTACACAGATATGTGGTCTGTAGGAGTATTAGCATATATTCTTGTGTCTGGTCTTTCTCCATTTGGTGGAGCAAACGATGAAGACACCATGAAAAATGTTAAAAACTGTGATTGGAATTTGGATGATCCTGTTTTCAGTGGAATATCAGAAGAAGGAAAAGACTTTATTCGGAAACTGCTTCAAGCTGATCCTGCTAACCGATTAACAATACATCAAGCTCTGGAACATCCTTGGCTCTCGAGCGGATACACTGCTTCCAGAGATGAACAAATACCTAGCAGTCGTTATCATGGCATTCGAGATTCCATCAGAACAAAGTATGATGCTTGGCCAGAACCAAACCCAGCTATAGGAAGAATCTCTAATTATAGCTCACTTAGACAGCATCGACCAACTGAATATAAAATTCATGACGCGTTCTTCGATCGTTCTGAAGCTCAACCACGTTTCATAATCAAACCATATGGAACAACCGTTGGAGAAGGTCAAAGTGCTAACTTCTACTGTCGAGTTATTGCTAGCTCGCCACCTATTGTAACTTGGCACCGTGAAGCTCGCGAGCTCAAGCAATCTGTGAAGTATATGAAGAAATATGATGGTAACGACTTTGGCTTAACAATCAATAGAGTTAAAGCTGATGACAAAGGAGAGTACATCGTGCGAGCCAAAAACTCTTATGGAAGCAAAGAAGAAGTTGTGTTCTTGAATGTAACTCGTACTAGCGAACCATTGAAATCTGAACCCTTGGAGCCAATGCGTAAAGCTCCTTCCCCACCCAAAGTGGAAGAGTTTGAAGAGAAACAATGTGCACCTTTGTTCACTTTCCACTTACGTCCTCGTCTGATCCAGAAAAATCATCAGTGTAAACTGATCTGTTCTCTTCAAGGAAACCCAACTCCTAAAGTTGAATGGCTCAAAGACGGATCACCAGTGGATCAAGATCGCGTCCAGCTCACTTTCCGTAGTGGAGTCTGTTCTTTAGAAATATTCAATGCTCGACTGGACGATGCTGGTACGTATAGTTGCCGTGCAACTAATGAGCTAGGAGAAGATTATACTGAATGTGTAATTACTGTACAAACTAAGGGTGGAGAACCAATCCCTCGTGTGCCAACCTCATCCCGTATTCGTCGATCTGTATATGATAACCTGCGTACTAGTGATGTAGAACGATCGCGCAGCTTTGCTGATGTCAGACGTAGTTCGAGCTATGCTAGAGATATTTCACCCGATACGAGGTCAGCAAAGGACGATTTGAAAATGAGAGTAGCCATGGAACCACCGAATTTCGATTCTAAACTGAGTAATGTTGAAGTCGAGGCTGGCCAGAATGCTGAATTCAGCTGCTCTGTAAGTTGATTAGTAGTGAATCATAAATTCTGTTTTTTTTTCAGGTATCTGCTACTCCCGAGCCCATAATTGAATGGCTTCACAATGGAGAAAGACTCAACAATAATAGATGTCAAACTTCTTTCGCTGGTGGAAGAGCTCTTCTCCGTATTTCAAACACTGAACCATCTGATTGCGGAGAATATTTCTGCCGAGCAAGTAACTCTGCTGGACAAGAATCAACAAAAGCAAGTCTGTCTGTGAAACCTTCTCAAGCCAACGGAGCTGTTATAACAGGGAACAACAGTGAAGATATTAGGTATTCCGAAATGAGCTATAGCCTTTCTGATCGTTCTTTCTTCAGTGTAATTAAACATTTATCCGGTCAAATTGTTGCTAGTGGTAGTACGATACAGCTCGAGGCTCAGGTTAACGGAACAGTACAAGATGTCCACTGGTCGAAAAATGGAAAAGAAGTGATTGTTTTTCATTATAACAGCTATTAAACAAGCACATTAAGATCGAAGAAACGGATAGGATACAAATTCAGAGTGATGGAAACACCTTCTCTCTCACCATTTCTGATGCCACTGAAGATGATGCCGGCCAATACTTCTTAGAACTTCGCGCTAGCAGCAAGTCACTTGTTACTGTAGCATCTGTTGTTATTTTAGGTAGTACATATGACTGCTTTTTTTTTCTTATTATACTCATGCAGATGTGCCAAATACTCCTCCAGTTACCAAGCTACCCAGCTCAGTAACAGTTGCAGAGAATTCAACAGCCAAATTTACCCTAGAGTTTGAAGACGCTGAGAGCTATACTGTACAGTGGTTCAAAGTACGTTATAGTCGCCCGCTCATTTTTACATTTTGATTTTTTCAGGGGTCTGATAAAGTAGAAAAATCTGATCGTCATAAATCTGTGAAATCTGGTAATGTATTTAAATTGGACTTCAAGGTGACTTGGTATGACTTAGAAACAACTCAATGATTCATTTTCCAGGAAGTATCGGCATCAGATGAAGGAGTTTATGTAGCTAAAGTAATCAAAGACAAGAAGGCTGTCGCCAAATATTCAGCGGCTTTGCTCGTTGAACATTAATTTCCCCCAATTTTTAAAAATTCTGAACGTATATTACCGACCCCTCTCCCCCCCCCCCTTCCTTATGAGTTTATTCTTAAATTGTATGCCCATAGCTTTCCAGATTTCTATCCTGCCCCAAAAAGTAATGAATCAAACGTTAAATCAATACTGCCTATCCAGTAATTATTTAATTGATGTCTATTTAAACGCTACTTTTTGGTAGCTATTTTATTGTAAAATATACAGTTCTCTGGAGATTTCGATGTAGTCAGCCAAACTATACTATTTCGGCTTCATAGTTGGGACTCTATGTACCGTAAATAGCATATAATCTCTATTAGGTTAACATCATTTTATCTATCAAGTCATTTTGTGTTTTGTTGTCTGGGCAGAATGGGACACAGGCTCTCTCAACAGATACACGTTTGACTCAACGATTTTTCCCTCTCCTTCAATGCTTCAATAGTTTACAAGCATTCAATCATCATATTTTCAAAGCAGGGACTCTTTGAATATTTGTTATTGATTGCTGCGAACTTGCATTTGTAGATTTTTCTTCGATCGTAGTTGTAAAATAGTAGTTAAGCTTATATAATGATTTGCGTGTAGTTGTCATATATCTGTTCGGGACCAGATATCTTTATTTTTCCACTAAGATTTACAAACAATCATGTTTTTCGTGCTCATTTGGCAGGATAGTTTGTTTCCCTTTCTCTTTTATCACATTAGTGCCTGATAGCCTGAAAAACCTTTCAGATTTGTGTTAATGTTTCAAAGACTTTCATTTTTTTTACAAGAACTCATTGCAATAAAACTTTAAACTTGACATATACATCAGGCTCTACAGAAAAAAGAGCATAGTACACAAAAGCAGAAAAATAACTTCATATGAAATTGTACGAAACTACAAGGAACAGATCAAGTGCATCAGTTTGGATAACTACAACCAGCGAATCAAGGAGAATCCTATTTTATACATCCAGAGCTCTCCAGCGCCCCGGTAAGAAAAATAAATTACAACTTGATTATTTTATATTAACTAGCAAGTGATGGGATCAAAAAAGGTATTTCAGAATATTCAAGAGATTCACAGTGGATTCGCTCAGCGTTGGTTCTTCGAGTGCTCAATAAGCCATTGAAGTGTGAGGTCTGAATCGATAAAATGTAAATAGACGGAGAGATTCTTTCCACTTACCAATGTTCTCTTTTTCTTTACAGGAGATTGAATAGCAGCAAATTTCTCGGTTCTGAATCGCAGACAAATTCCTAGAATAGGATATAGAAGAAGTGTTACAGTTAATGATAATACATTCGCTCAATCAGTTGTCTCTCATCCAAAGCTCCTGGAAGATCTTTTTTATTTCCCAATACTAAGACAGGAATGGACTCAAGCTGTGGTTTGTCCAAGAGTTGAACAAGTTCATTTCGAGAAGCCTGAAGAAAACGAAAATAAGAATTCAGAAAAGCTATTAACCTCCAGTTTATCTTCGTCAGCAGCATCTACCATAAATACGATTGCGTTTACTCCACGACAATATCTTTCCCACATTGAACGGAATCGTGGCTGTCCTCCGATATCCCAGAGCTGAAATCATTATGTCATAAGGGAATTAATACAAACAAAATACCTTAATGGTAACATTGCCTTTTGTGATTTTACGCATGTTGAAGCCTACGGTTGGAATCATGTCTTCCGTAAATTGGCCACTCTACAGATTAATAATTGAAACTGCGCGCATTTCTTCAAACTTACAGCAATCACGTTGACAAATGTTGTTTTTCCTGAGTTCTGAAGTCCGACCAAAGTAAGTTCCATCTCTTCTTTCCAGAAAAGACTTCGAAACCAGTCTAACACTCGGTTCAACATAGACAGCATTCTGAGAACTGAAAAGGCATGAAATTCAGTTAGAAGAGCTTCACAATATGTTTAAGATTCAGGAAACTGTCGAGGGAACGAATGTTATGAAATGAACAAAAACTCAACAAGAATATTGATCAGTCAACAACTTTATGACTAATCTTGCAAAAAAAAGCCGTGACAAGTAAACGAATCGATAGCCGAACTTACAAAAACAAACCATGGTTCAATAAATATTCAAAAAATCAGATAATTCTTATATTCAGAATAATTAAACAAATAAACAAACACTTGATTATAAAATAGATGGAACATAAGATCGATTTGACCCCTTAAAATATGACAATTGGTCCCACCACGATCGCTCACTAATAATTATTTGAATTTGAATATGCTCAGTTAAGCTTATGGATTCATATTTTTTCATCAATAAATTCGAACAGTAATGAATAAAATATAATATTTAAAAATTTGAGATTCGAATTAACTGAAATTTAAACTGCATTGTGATTGAAACATATTTTTAGCCTTTGCAGTACAGAAGTTTTGAATTGTAATTGAAAGAACAACAAGCGAATAAAAATCATTTGATTGTACAAGTAAGTTGTGTCGTTTTCTTGCATGATTTTTTATCATCATTTCTAGCTTAAACTTTCAATATATATTTTTATATATTGATAAATCGTTATTTTTCTCGTTTGCTTGACCACATTCTCGGTATTTTGTAATCTTGGTAGCCTTTCCTATTATCGTTATCTTGTTTTTTCTTCAAGTGTTCCATCTTTTTAGTGGTTTATTATAAACTATCTTGAGGTGCTTTTCGCTTTCAATAGTGCTAATCGCTTTAACCTATGTGCTATTGGGAGTTTGCCGTTGGGGAAGGTTCATCTAGCTCGCAAAATGCATCATGCTTTGTGCAGTGCCTCATTCGCTCTCATTTGTTTATTAGACATCAAACTTATCTTCTTGTACAGTTTGCTTGTTATATTAATTATTTTAAATGACATATAGCCTTATCAATCCATGATTGGTGAATTTGCGAAGCTTTCGAACTTGTCCCATGTTTCATATTCTCTTCTTTTCTTATCCATTTTTCATATGGCGCCAATTTCGAATTGTTAATTGCCGCACCGTTTTCAAGGTTAAATCTTCGTTCTCGTTCCGTGTCATAGAATAACGAATGTTGAGAAAAAAGTTTTAACTCTTGTCTTCAGAATGGAGATGGAAGCTTGTATATCTTTTACGGATGTCTTAGAATCGGATGTTCCTGACTTGGAAGATTTGGAGCCTTCGATGTACGATATTATACCAGTAAGTGTTTATCTGTTTGTTATAGATACCTTTTGTGTTTCAGAGTAGCTATGAATTGACGAGAGATTTAGCTCATTCCTCTGCAATAAGATCTTGTATGTTATTTGCATCGCAAGTTGTTCTATTATGAATATTTTCAAGCTCTTGACATTGACGCTGCTGCTGGACCTCGTCAAAAATTACAAAATGCCATCGCAGCAGTCAAAAACGAACATCGCCTCGAAAGGAACGGGCAATATGCAACAAGTGTACTGAAAGGTAGCACTTGGACAGTACAATCGCAGAACCAATATAGTTCAAATCAAAGACAGCCGTCCACTAAGGTAATATTATTGAAGTTTATGTAGCAGATTCGTTGTAGGCCAAGTTATCTGGGAGAACATACTCTACTCTTTCCAAGCCAGAAGATTTACTCGCTTCCCGTGGCTCTGTGTCTAACTCTTGGGCCAGACATAGAGACAGGTACGTTATAGATTGAATTTAATCTAAACGTGATCATTTTCAGCTCTCCTCTACCTTCTCACAGATATAACACCTTGCCTATCAACCCTAGACATTTAAGTTTGGACCCAGAAGGCGAAGACGAAATTGATCAATGGGCAGTTCAGACTGAAACTAAATACTCTGAGGATATCGGTAAAGAGTTCACTGTAGCCAAGCGCAGAAAACAACAACCTATTGTTGTAAGTTGGGCGTTGTTATGATCTTCCTAAGTTCAATATATTGCAGCGACTTCCTCCTGAGCCATCTACTCACCCAAAACCTGGCTTCTCTTATTCAAGTTTAATTGGCCTTGCTTTAAAAAATAGCGTCAATGGTCAACTCACAGTATCTGAAATATATGCTTTCATTCTGTAAGACAAGAAAATAAGAAACATTAGCTATGTTCTATTTTAGGGAGAATTTCCCATATTTCCGTACTGCTCCTTCTGGTTGGAAAAATTCTGTTCGACACAACCTCTCGCTTAATAAGTGTTTCAAAAAAGTCGATGTATGTAAATTTTCTGAGGGATCATGTTCAAATTGTTATTCAGATTGATCCATCAGAGACGCAGACTGCTCGGAAGTCGTGTTTATGGATGATAAGTCCAGATAAGTTAGAAAAAGTCGAGCAAGACATCCGTAAATGGCGTGATAGAAATCCAGACCCAGCTGCACATGGTTTAGCCAGACCACGTGAGTTTTGCTTATATGATATTGGGCTAAATCTGATGTTTCAGAGGACATGTTAGCTATCGAAGAAGGCACAAAGGGATTACCAACCATGAACCCTGAAAGCAGATCTTACAGAGTTAATAATAGTTCCGTTATTAAATCCGATCCTGTATCTACATCACCTACACACTCATTAGAGACATATGACTTTATTGAGCCATCTAATCATTTAGATGTTGATGTTGAGGTGAGCGTAGATGTTCAGAACATTTAGTAACTTAAATTTGCAGATGAAGTTAGACTTTCTTGAGGAGCAACTATGTTTTTCACCAACACCATCTCATGAATCGTTATCTATACATTCAGATGAATCCATACAGCCACCGTTTAAGGTAGGGATTTCGAATGTTAATGCAGTCATATCTCATGAATTCAGCGTCCTTATTCTCATATTTTGGCAAGTCCTCCTAAGGAGTTTTTAATGTCTCGGTCGTTATTATTGGTTTCACCTCCACGGAATAAAAAGGAAGTTGAATTGTCTGTTTCACCAATAAGGTATGCGGTTATTGCTTTTCTAAGATTTATCATTTTTTTCCAGATATCTTGGCTGCTCCAGCTTCGATATAGCACGAGACGCATTGAACGATAACTCGCTAATGAGCGCTGCTTTAGGCCAAAGTCCATATAAGGGTCCTGTAACATTCCCTGCGTTCTAAAACTTCTTAACGTTGTACAAATTTTTAAACTTCCTAATTTATATTCATATTTGGCTGGTCCTTTGCTTTACGCAGCTTTGTCACTACTTTATATTCTGCTCAAGCGAGCATTAACTTTTAATATGTCTTTCGACCATTGCGGTTATTTGTGTACATCTCCTATGATATATCATTTAATAATATATTTTTAAAAAAGTCCACATATCTATGCCACTACAGTTATGATTGTTGCTGATCTCTAATTTCGTTTTACCGATGTTTTTAAGAAAGATACCAATCATTTTTCTAACTCGAGTATTTGGTTGTTCGTGTCACCCATCGATACATGTAATTTGTCTGTCGGCATACATTCGATATTTCAGTTTCACGATGTTGGATTTGGAGAAGTTCCGAGTTCAAAATGTAGGTACTTCTCGTGTCAATAAATCATATAAGTTATTGTTTGCTGTTCAATATAGGCTCCCTCTAAGATCTGGTACATTCCTAATTTCATAGACTCTACGGAAGAACAAGTTTATCTATCTTCGGTTAACGATGCTCCAAAACCAAAATGGGAGGTCAGAACTCGTCAGTGATCGGGCTAATAATGCTTTTCAAGGTTTTATCAAATCGTAGACTTATGACTTTTGGTGGGGAAGTAGCCAAGAATGTTTTGCTACCCATTGACGATATTCCAGAGGTATGAGTGACCAATCTAATTAGATATATGAATTTTAGGAACTCGGATTACTTATGAAAAAGGTGGATCAGTTGGGGATCATACCAAAAGCAACAAATCATATATTAGTGAATGAAGTAAGTCTTCAAAATGAGTCATTTTTTTATCATAGTGTTCTCACGCCTTTGTATAGTATTTAGCTGGTCAAGGCATTATGCCTCATACAGATGGTCCAGCCTATTATCCATTAGTTGCGACAGTTTCTTTAGGATCCTCTATTCTACTCGATTTATATAGAAAAATAGATGAAAAAGTAATGAGATCATAGATGATGGTGGTGACAGCAGAATGATGTTATAGAAAGTTGAATCACCATCCGAGAGATTCGTGGGATCAATGTTATTAGAGAGAGGAAGCTTATTTCTCATGACAGATGAGGCATATTCAGGGCATTTGCATGGAATTCGTGAAGTTTCAAACGTGTAAATCGTATGTTTCACTTTTTTTTCTTAAGGTTAAAGAAGACGTCATCAACGAAACCGTGTTAAATCCAGGGAAGTATTTAGGACAAACTTTGCCAAGAGAAACGAGGTCAGTCATGAGAGGATTGACTCAACAAATTGCATTTTAAGAGTTTCAATAACAATCCGTAATATTCCGAGAGTATCCAAACTGGACATTAAGACGCTTCTGTTTAAGAAGTAGACTAATCCTGTGAACGTCCTTGGGAGATACGAAAGTTACTGATAACCCTGCCTAAAGTGAGGAGGGAGTTTTTAGTAATAAATTTTCAATTTTTATTGTTTTACTTGAATACGTAAGATTCTTCAATATTGAGATCTTAAGGGTGGAGAGACCTCGTTAAAAGCAATTATCTATAGAGGGTCAAGTGTTAATTTCGCAATTGCTTTTTCAAAAACTTTCAAATGAATACTTCTCTCAGCTTAACGAAACAAATTTATCTGTGTTCTTCGGATTTTAAAAAACCTCTCGTCACATCACACAAGTGTATGAGGATATGTCGAACTGACCAACCACATTTCTATTTTCTATTCGTCTATGAAGAGAAGCGGTTGCGCCTGAACAACATGACAATTTTTCAAATATTCGCAATTTGAGCAATGAGGTTGGTTTACAAAGTCGAATCAGTTTTTGAATAAAGAGCTTGGTGAATTTTTGTAGGAAAGTGTAATAGGGACAGAGTTCCATGCCTGCAAAGTTTTCTTTAATGTTTCAATGCTTCAATTAGCCTTGAAAACTATCATCTAATTCTAAAACGAATGATCGTCATTTTTTCTTTTTCAATTCTCACTTACACAATGCGAAAACATAGCTACGGCCTAAGAAAATATTTTCTTAAATCTGTAGAACGCTGGAAGGAGACCGCGCTCTAACTGTTTGCGTATAATTATTTTGTCATAATACTGTAACTTTCTTTTTGACTGACTCATTGTACAGTCGGTCAGTAATTACTTTGCTTGATTTGATTTTTTGGAAGTTTTAATCAATTTCTCAAATAATCAGATGTTCTACTTATATGCAATTCGAGAATATCTCCCCGCGCATCTATGTTACAGACATTGGAAGCAAAAAAATATCCCAATTGATTGTTCGGTATGTTTTTTCCGCATCTTTCAATCGGTAATGCTCTTGCAACTCAATATAGCTTGTTTAGTCTTTTTACCTTTCGGTCACTTCTCGATTTTCTTCTGTATTGTTAGTGAAACTAATTTTGCTTGCTCAAAAGAGGCGAAGTTTCTTTTATCGATGGTTCATCTTTTTCACCCCCTTGATGCCCACAAGTTTAGCTACCACTTTGCTTTCAATGTTCTGTGTTCAGATTTTTACGAAAATATCAGCTAGAGCTTAAGCAGCTGCCGTCCTTGTTCTTTATGTTTGTTGAAAAGGTATCTGATGACAGCTTCTCCATATGCGGTATGATACTTGGGCCTTCTGAGTTTTGCCCCGCCTCCTGGCCTTGGGTCGCGCGTCCTGTCCATCTGGCTGGCTGTGTACCTCTTTCTAACAATCCTGCGACTCAAATGCGCATTGAACTAGACTTTACTGGTACTTCCTTTTCTTCAATTATTCCTCATAATAGACGATATGTGACGACATGTTGTCGCATCCTTATAATTACCTCTTCTAAAGCTTCACGAGTTCAGTCTCTAGTAAACTAACTTCAGGTGTGTCTGATTGCTTCCTTACGACCTGTTTAACATCTTATTTGTGTTCGAAACCCAGATAGCTATGATTTGTATTGAAACCAATTTTCTTATTTGCGATTTTTACTTTTCTCTTATAACTTCAAAAGTCATATGTTGTCTGATTTCTTTTGTCACATATGTTCTAACTATTCGAATTATTTGCCTTCCAATTTTAGAAAAAGAAATAGCCTTGAGTCACGCTCGTTTGTATTCCTTATCTTATCTAACCTTTTATTTGCCTCCTACATTCTCTTCAGATAGAAGTCAATTTTTCAACTGTGTCAAATTTGAATTAGTAATTACTTTTTTTTAAGATTAAAAGTTGTCATGACGATATAAACATCAAAAAGATGAGAAAGTTTTTCCAATTCCTGCTGTTTATTTTCCTGATCAGTGATGTAACAGCAGACATTCTTAAAGGATCACCACCGTTTTTTGCTACAAGCAGTTCTTCTTCTAAATTATATGTAAATGAATTCGAACACCTTACTCTAGAATGTAACGCTCAAAACTCTGACCAGGTATAACATCAGTACTCATAACTTTACTATAACGCTTTTTCAGAATGTTTGGTTTAGAAATAATGAGGACACTGGTATACGAACTAAAATTTTTTTCAAAGAGTCAGTTACAAGGAATGATTCTGCAGTTTACAAGTATTTTTTTTCTATATATACAAATACTGTGAAATAATGTTCAGATGTTTGGCATCTAATGCTATAGGATCTGTTTTCTCTATGGAAACCCCTGTAATTGTACAATGTAAGTATGAAAGAGGAGTACAGTCATCCTTTTGTTTTGCCTCATTAACCTTGCTACAATGTTTTGCAGATGTGGAGGACTTTGATACTTCTTCAACCTCATACTCTGTTTCATCTTTTGTTGGTGGTTTTATTCATCTGAAGCGCCCGAACGTCATTTCTAGCGAAGAGTTGGACATCGAATATTCTTGGATAAAAAACGAAGAGAAGGTATTTTTGATCGATTTTATTTTTGTTTGTCTGATTTGGTTAGATTGTTCGTGCTTCTATATTCCTCTGCATTGACCGTCTCATTGACCTCTCATGTTTGCTTTCCAGCTTTGTAGGTTCAGTTTACGGCTCTGAACTTATTCTTTTTTTTCGTTTGTGTTTCTTTCACAAAGCTGAATCTTTAAATTGAGTTGAGGGGTAACGTGTGTTCGAAGTGAATTTCTAAACAGTATAATACTGTTGATCGGATCAATGGCCCCCTATCCTATCCGTATGTTTACTCCCAGCCTTCCTTTCACTATCGAAATTGACATTGTATACGGAAGACTTTGCTCTTTCCCTCTTGCTCTATCTTCTTCATCTATAATGAACTTACCTTGATTGGGGGTTAATGACTTACACATAGAGGGAACTGAAGAAAGCTTATGTAGATAACAAGGGGATATGTTGGACTATGTTTTAAAATTTTGTTTCAGATTAATCTAGATAGCTCACATTATATCACATCCAGAGGGGATCTTATTGTTACCGATGTGAAGAAAAATGACTTTGGAACTTATCAGGCATGATGTATTAGAACTAAAGTTTATTTTGAGTTTTTTTTTCAGGCTTTGGGTGTGACAAGCAATTTTGGAGACATCATATCAAAAGACTATTTAGTAGTGGATGAAGAACATAGGTTCATTGTGTTTCCATGTTTTCTGAATGTTTATCCTTTTCTAGTGATCAAAACGTTCCATTCCGTATCCTTGCTCCACCAACAGATCGAACGATTTTATTGGGAGAAGATTTATTGAATGAAACATTCGACTGTGTAACATCATTCAGGTCAGTACTCATTGTGAGTAAATAATTATTTTCTTGTTATAGTTCCGACTATGTTATCCGTTGGTTCATAGATGGCTCGCCTATTACATCCAATACTGTTGGAGTTAAACTGAGTCATAATAACCGAAAACTGACATTTATAAACTCCAGTGGATTCTCTTCACTTGGAAAAGTAAGTTCAGCCCCGTTAATTTCAAGCTAACAAATCTTCATAGGGAACTCATAATCTCCAGTGCAAGGTTTCCGCTCGATCTGGTATATTATTTGAAGATTCGACAGCAGTTTTAATGATCATAGGTGAGTTTCTATTAACCTTGTGCTATATTCATGAGTGCAATATGCAGATCAGCCTGTAATTGAAGCGATTCCATCTGAAATACAAAAGCCTGTTGGTTCGAGTGTGTCTATTCGCTGTAATACTGACAATCTTATATCTAAAATCAGATGGTTTTTCAATGGAAACAAGGTTTGCGTAACTTCCTTTTTTGTTGCGTGTAAGTTGTTTGCATCGTGAAACTTTTCAAGCACCTCTTGAGCGCCAGATTTTGTTTATTCGAAAGCAACTATCTATACTGGCTAAAAACATAATGAAATGATTTCTATGGTTAATCTACCCTATAAATGAGAGATTGGTTAGCACAGCTGATTTCATTTGAGGGAGTATTGCAGCAAGGCTTCTTCGAAATATTGTTTATATTCTTTTTTTTCACTCAATTGTTTATGAAGTGTTCGAACATTTGCCGGTCTGGCCATATGGAGATAGTTCCCGTCTTTTGTCTCATCGTCTCCTTGGCTTAGAGTATGGTGAGGGGAATGAAGTGGCTTTGCACAATTGATGTTAATACAATGGCTTCTTTTTACTGTTAGTCCTTCACTCACTATCTCATGAATGTCGTGTAAGAGTGTGAAGTAGAGTCAGAAATGAATTTGTCGCGATGTCCTGGTCCAATTAAGGGGAAGGTTTTTTCTTCATACTGACTGACCAAAAGGGATATGGAAGGTATTGTGGCAAAGAATCTTCTCTTTAACCGGTCTCCGATTCAGTAGTGAAATTGGAGCTAATCCAGGCGAATATTCTTTTGTTACGTTTTCTTAAGAGTTTGGATTCGATGCTTCTATATTGAAAAAGGCTTGAACTTTTCATTTAGATACCTTCAAAAGGGAAATCACTGACTATTTCTCCAATATCTGGGGAAAATTATGGAATTTATCAGTGTGAGGCCAGAAATGAGGCCGGTACGGCACTCTCAACAACTTGGTTAAAAGAAGGCGAAGACTCCACCGGTAACTTCAAACTTATAGAAGAGTTGAACAAATTATTACAGAAGGTACTATCGTGTTTGACCAACCTGGAGATTCCGAACCTACAGGGTCTGAGCCGGTAATTGTTGAGGGACCTTCGTCAGCTACTGTTCCAGTAGGTTTGGATGAATTCTCGTTCAAATGCGTGGCTGAAGGCGATCCTTCACCAAGTTTAGTATGGAAGTTTGAAGGTTTGATAAAATAGTTTTTCGAAAAGCACTAATGAAATTTCAGATAATGTTATATCCAAAGAGAACGAAAAATACAAGATTAAAGACAATCTTATAGTCATACATAACATTCAAACCTCAGACACTGGTCAGTATTCCTGTATAGCCCGAAATGTTCATGGAACGAGGTCGAAGAATGCTTTCCTTTCTGTATCTAAACTGAGTAAGGTTGACTCTGCGTTCGTATAACTAGTATACCTTTTTTAGACCAAAAACTACTACTCCATCCACCAACTAATCAGAGTATGTTAATTGGAACAAGTCTAGACATACCTTGTGAAGTGCATGGTGATTACCGAGAAGATGCTAGCACTACTTGGTTCTTTAATGTAAGTTTACAGTTTGAAATATGATTATTGTTTTGTTCATTCAAGGATGAAGTAATAGAGAACACTGGTAACCCCACACTTCGACTCTCCTTGAATAAGAGAAAAGGTCTTCATATATCCCAAGTTGGGCCAGATAGTATTGGAGAATACAGGTTTTAATTGTTGGCAGAAGAAAATTATGTCGCTCTTTAAGATGTGTTGTAACTCTGGGATCAAAGTCAGAAAGTGCTTCAATGTGGTTAGAGATCATAGGTTTTTCAAAATATTAAGCCTTCTGTTATTGATTTATTGTTCAGAAAAGCCAAGCATGCCAAACGGAGTTTCAGCTGTCTTGGTCAATGACACTCTGCCCGCTAAAATCCGTGTTGATTGGGAGGAAGGGTTTGATGGAAACTCTCCAATTATTCGGTTTTTATAATTTTCTGATAACAATAACTTATATGTTCAAGATATATCATTCAAATGCATACGTTGGGTCAAACGGAACTATGGAGCGATTGGGAAACAGTTGGAGAAACAGATCCAGCAGAAGTACGTGTTGGGCCAAATATGTAAAATGTTTCTTGTTTTAGAACTGTTGTTCCTTCGTGTTAGATAATTTGAAGCCTTCCGTTACTGCTGAATTTCGAGTGATAGCTGCCAATAAGCATGGTGGTGGCAAACCATCGTTATCATCCGGTTAGTTTTTAACTAGGGTGTGCTTGATATGCTCCATGATGCAGAAAAAGTTACAATGCCTCAACAACCTCCTGCTGCTGCTCCAAAAAATGTAGCTGCCCAACCGAGATCATCGAACAGTATAGTTGTACAGTGGCAAAAACCACAAGAAGAACAGTTCAGTGGGGATATTCTGGGTTACATTATACGGTGAGCAGGCTTTATTTCCTTCATTGAATTTATTAATTCTTTGAAGCTATCGCTTGTTCGATTATAAAACTCTGCCATGGACAGAAAAGAATGTCACCACACCAGACGCACGAAACGCAGTATGTTATCCTATCTGTATTCATTTTTTAGTTCTTCCGTTCCTACAGATTATTGATCAGTTAATCACTTGGCAGTCTTATGAGATTCAGGTGGCTGCGTATAACGAAAGAGGATTAGGTGTCTTCAGTAAAAATATTCAAGTTTCTACGCTAGAAGGAAGTAAGAGAACTCATAGTGATGCTTATGTGATTGAAATTTCAGCACCCACACAAGCACCAAAAAAACTCAATGTACAAGTAATAAGTTCTACTTCTGTAGAAATTTCTTTTCTTTCCCCAGATCAACAACGTATTCCAGGAGTTAATCTTGGTTATAAGGTATCACCAGCTCATTAGTGTTTTATTATTAAGATCTTCAGGTTCAACTGTGGAAAGGTGCTCCCGATGATAAAGCACCATATAAGCAGATTATCCTAGACCCTATATCCCGTTCTATGAAAGCCGTTATCGAGGAACTTGAAAAATTTGGTAATTATCTTCAATCAAACATTATGAAATGTTTTTTTAAGGACATTATAATCTTACGGTTTTATGCTTCACTCGTGAAGGAGATGGACCTAAAACTAACCCAGTCCCAGTCATTACAAAAGAGGACACCCCAGATCGAGTGTCATCTTTGACTTTACATGATGTTATGTATGACGGGGCCACCGTTACCTGGAACCCACCTATCGAAGCTAACGGAATAATCACTCGATACATACTTCGCTACTGGAACGATATGACTCCAGAAGCTAAAACTTCGATGGAGCTTAGTGGTGATCAGCACAGTGCTGTTATCACTGGTCTTCAACCAACAACCAAGTACTCTGTTGATATCTTTGCTTCAACATCAGTTGGTGATGGGCCTAGAGATGAATCCAAATTTGAATCAGGCCGCCCACCAGGTTTTATCTGCTTCATTTCTTTCTCATTTCTTTTTTTCTTTCATAGTTCTACCTGGTCAACCTTCTTCTCTTTTTGTTTCTGATATTCAAGCTAAATCGGTGCATCTGAGTTTCATTCCCGGTCATGACGGCTTTACGGCAATACGTCAGTGGATAGTAGAAGCGAAAGTTATGGACTTTGGAGTTTATTCGACTATTTTCAATATTAGGTAATTAAACTATGAATATATTCATCTTTTTTTCTAGTGCTCCTAAAGCTAAATCTTTTGTTGTGAAGGGTTTAAGACCGTACACACAGTATCAACTGCGTCTTATAGCAGTAAATGTCAAAGGGAAAAGTCCTTCAAGTGAGCCTACTAAGATGTTTGAGGTAAAAGAACTGTAGCTTTTCACTCTGGGTAACATACTTATATCCAGACGAAGCAAATGGAACCAGAGAGTTTATCATCTCCCCTTTTCGCTGAGCCTGTCTCGGCTACTACCATTTCCTTATCCTGGACACCACTTCTAGCTTCACAATGGAACGGTCAACCGAAAGGTTATTTGATTATGTACAGAGCTAAAGATGAAGAAAATTGGGTTTGTCTTTGCTAGCTTCTTCCTCATTTCACAATTTATAAAACAGAAAGAGATAAGGGCTGCATCTGTTCGTGCCAGTGATTTCGCGCTGTCTTCTCTTTTGCCTTATACTGTGTATGAAATTGAATTGTTTGCTGAAAATATGGTTGGGCGAAGTTCTTCCACAGGAATAATCCAAGCCAAGTTAGTATATTCTGTGTTTTTTTTCTAATCTCTGCTCCAGAACCTATGAAAGTGTTCCCTCGCAGTCACCAGAAAATATCCGAGCTGTTAATGATGTCCTCCGAACTGTAATTGTACGATGGAATCAAGTACGAGATGAGAATAAGAACGGGGAAATCCTAGGATATACTGTACGTTTTTCACTTCATATCACGTAATAATACTTCACTGTAGGTTCGATTGGTACCAGAATCAGATTGGTTACGATCTGAAGAAACGAGAGTTTTCGATGTGCCCGGAGCTAACAACACCATGACAAAAATAGCGGGGTTGAAAGCTTTCACTAAATATAATGTTCACGTGTCAGCCTATACTATTGTGGGTAATGGTAAAGAAAACTCGCAACCACCTATGTTATTGACTGAGGAAGACCGTTCGTTTGATGTTTTGTGAACAGATCTTACAAAATTTCATTCAGTTCCTGGGCCTCCGTCAGGTGTTAGCTTTTCATTTGTTAGTGAAGACCAGGTCCGACTAAAATGGATGCCACCTGAGAACCCAAATGGAAAAATCAATGTTTTCTTCGTAGTGAAGATCTAGAGTAATCTTTTTTCTTGTAGGGGTATGTGGTTTCTCATTGGATAACTTCCAAAGGTTCGGCATCATCTCATCGTGTGACCATAGCAACCTTGGATATGTTCGCCGCAACAGGTTTTTGGGATTTTCTCAAATATCCTCATATATTTTCTCAGAATTGGAGAAAAATACACAATATTCTTTTTCTTTGGCCGCCATAAACTCTGTGGGTACCGGACCAGAAGCGCATGTAGATGTGTTTACATCATCAGTACGACGTAAGTATAATCAATTGACGTCTTATTTTTGCGTTTATCCAGTCCCCGTTCGAGTTCCGCCTAGGCCAGTCCGAGATGACATGGCTAAACAAACATCCACGCAAGTCTCAATTTCATGGGATAGTTCTTCTTCCGCGAAAGGAGATGAGTTCGAAGAATCACCTATTCGTTCTGTACAAGTAAGTTCAAATTGTTAATATCAATTGTTCATAACGATCTAAGATTGAATATCAAAAAGCTAATGAGGATGCTTGGAATCTTTTCACTCGTTCTGTTCCAGGCGATAAAACAACAATCACTGTGAACAGGTATCCCTAATTTTTTTTCTACTTTTCAGTCCGCTTTTTAGATTATCGCCTAATACCGCTTATCGTTTCCGTATAAAGTTTACTGGTGATTTTCAATCCTCTTCTTGGTCACCTGAATCAGATTGGTTCCGAACTTTACCAGCAGCACCGACGGCAGTTCCTCTTAAAATAATTGTCGTCCCTTACGACTCGAGCAGCATATCTCTACAGTGGGCCACTCCAGAAAAGTAAGCAAGATTTTTTTTTTTTTCAAATGTTCATAATCAGGAATCAATGGAATGCTGACGCTATAGGGTATCATATATCTTACAAGGAATATCCTTCTAATGAAAGTTGGCGAAGTGATGATCTTCCTGCACAAACGAATCGTCAAGATACTGAGCAGTACATACTTCCAAAGCTCGAAAGGTGACTTTGGAGAAAGTTCGGAAATCAACCTTCGTTTCAGTTTCCGTCATTATATTGTTAGAATGAGTGTATACAACTCCGAAGGGGACGGTCCTTTCTCGGCCCCCTCGTTCATTTATGTCGGATATTCAATTCCCAAGAAAAACGTTACTGGTCTTATGGGAGAGGCAAAAACCCCCTCTTCCATCACTTTACACTGGGATGAATGGTCTGATGATGGCAGTGATTACATAATAGGATTCAAGGTTTTCACGAAAAATTGCTTATTAATAAAATACTTTCTCTCAGGTCCGATTTGTCTCACTGGACTCAGTTTTGTCAACTAATCAGGAAGAAGAGTTAGTTGTGGTTGAGAACAACAGTTGCACTTTGAATGATTTGAAAAAGTTTTCCGAGTATCAAGTATGATAATGCTGTACCTTCATTGTTTCACGACATATTTCTAGATATCTGTATCTCCATACAATCGTGCTGGCGAAGGAGGGCGAACGGCAGTCCGTGTTCGAACTCGAGAAGATATTCCTGGACCAGTTAACAACCTGCACTTCACTGACGTGTTGTTAAACAGTGCAAAGATAGTTTGGGATACACCTGCTCTTCCCAATGGCTTGATCACTAAGTATACTGTTAATTACAGATCGGCTCGAGACAAGGTTTCTAATCGACCATCTTTTTTCTACTTTCTATTTTCAGACCGGAAACAATAATGAAGTTCAATCCGCTACCAATAATTTATCCTTCTTTGCTTCTAATTTGAAAGAAGGGTCTGAATATATTTTCACGGTATGGGCTGAAACAGCAGCTGGTCGAGGTACTGAGACTATTGCTAACATCACTGTCGGCCCTAATATCTGTGAGTTAGAAGCTGTTTCATTTAGTACAGTCTTATTTAGCTGGTCCGGCTGCCCCATCTTCGCCTACTGTAGTACCTGGCCAATCATCAGTAACCATTTCTTGGAAAGAAATGTCTCATAGAAATATAATTGGTTATCTCCTTCAAGCCAAAAGAGTCTCGAATGCTGTTCTAGTATAGATAACAAAGTTGAAGGGAAATCAGAACCTTTTTGCAGCATCCTGGAACTTCTCATCGTAGAAACAAAAGGTCTATTCAACCACATACAATGGGCGAGTGGGTGACACTGAAAGTTATAGATAGTGTGATCAACAAATATGAAGTTTGTGATTCAAAACAAGTCTTTCCTACTTTCAAATTTTTTAGATTAGCTATCGTGAGTTAGAGCCTTCAAGCCAATATGTTTTCCGCGTATTTGCTCGAGATGAGCGAGGCATAGGTTACCCAAGCAAGCAATCGGATGAACTCGAAGTACCTGGTATGATCTTTATTACATATCTGGACGCTTTTTTTTTTTGAAGCATCAATTCCTGATGATCCATTTTACACGTCTTGGTGGTTCATAGGGCTTATAGCGATGTCAACTTTTGTAGTTATTGTAGTGGTTATAGCATTTCTGTGTGTAACAGGTACCATAATAGTTGAGGCGAGTTCTAACGGTCTCTTTCAGGGTCTCAAGCTAAATTTAAAAGAGAAAAACGGAACTCTGTTGACAGTTTGCAGCTTGCTGATGGTAACTTTATTAATTATCAAATGAATGGTCATCGCGGCATAAATAGAAGCAGGTAACTGTTTATTTGTGCTCGGGTAGTAAATTGTTGTGATCGATAGGAATGATTTGATCACGAGACCTGGAACTACTCAATCTTGGTTATCGGACAAAGATCCTCCGGCCTATGGAAGCGTTTTAGGAGTGGATAGAGAGAGCACGGCAAACGGTGGAAGCGTAGTTAACATGTACGGCTTAGCGACAGATGTTATGCCTCAGCCTCCGAACCAGCAAGCGATGCAAAGGTGATATTGTAATATTTTTTAGCTTCACTCAAAGCTTTAGATTATCTGCTTTGGTTGGGCGAGACAATCGAGTAGGTGGCAGTGCTTATGTCACTAATTCCATGAGACGTGAATCTCTTGGAAATCCTGAATATACGTCCAGGGCGGATCATATGTCTCGGTATCACTTGGTAAATTGTATATATTCAGCTGTTATAATTTCAGTAGAAGCGATTATGGCTATAGTAGTCGGATTGGTTATGGTGCAACACCCTCACATCATCAAAGCGAATACGAAGATTCTTTCGAAGATGATGATCCTAGTGCTGATGAAGCTGAGAATAATGATATTGCAAGCCATTATGGAGAAATCGAACAATACAGGTAGTGCAATAAATAATCGACCTCTGTATATATTTAATCGTTTCTAGAGACACTTGGCGTAGAGTGCGGGATTCCGATGTTGTCCGAAACAATCCTGATGGTAATAAAGCTTCAGCAGAGAGTTTACCTACCGAGACTAATTACAGTCAAGGTCCTCCAGCTTTAACAAACGGCTTTTCCTCTTTTGTTTGAAACGTTTCATCGTATTTGAGCAGGTTTCAAGTTTCATATTGTCCTCTATGTTTCAAGTTATGATAGCCACCATTTTTCATATCAACTTTTATGCGGTTTTCATATAATACGAATAGCACTCTCTGAACAGGTCTTTTTCGGGTACTTCTATAGTTTATAATGTTTTTAACATGTGACGATATGATCTCCATAAGTTTTGGCTGAGCCAAAGAATAATATTCGATTGTGTTATGCTTCTATAAGCATTCATTATTTGATTCCACTTATCATATAAAAAATTAACTATTAAATTGCTTTATATTTACTTTTTCACAGTTTCGTTCACGTGACTGAAGGCAGCGAATATCCATGTGAGAAAAAAAGTGATCACTAGATTCAATAGATGCGTAGCTTTTTTTTTTTAAATGTTTGCGAAATGACTTTGTTCAAAACTACAACTTCAAAAAAAACGATTTCGTCATATAGCTGGCCTACTTCAATGGGATACGAAACTTTCTACGATATAGCAACGATTTTTTTATTACCAGTATACCTTAAATATAAACCTTCGATGATTATGAATAAATGNTAGTTTCGAAGCTTTTAAAGTTATTTCATAATTAATTTGCATATTCATAGGTGTTGTTCTGTTCTTTTTTTGACAAATTTCTTACTGATAGCAGTATAGAAACCAAACTGAAGCGACTGAGTTTGTCCGCGCGGATCTGAGTATTGGGTTAAGAGAGGTCGGGAGTAATCGTCAGAAACGATGGTAGAGTGTTGCTGGAGTTAGATATGGCTTGTGGTTTGTCTGTAAGAAAGCACATACACTTCTCATCTGCCGTGTTTTAGGGATGACAAGCTGCTTTCTGATGATGATGTTACCAACGTGCGCGCAATACACTGAGGACTTCTGTATGAGTATGTTTATTAATCTATTAAATTGATGACTATTATGTGTTGCATAACGATTTGAAAGGAGACCGTATCTTCTACACAGAGTTGCGAATTTTGGAAAAGTTGGACTACTTTTCAATTTGGCTCCAAAGGAAGTTGAGGACAGTTGGACAGATGATCAGAGGTATTTCTTGAATCTATTGAGTTCGTTTTGCAGGTTCTGTGATACTTGTGTTCTCAAGTTGATTAGAACTGTTGTTCAGATATAGCCAGGCCTACATCAACGAAATTATTCCTTGGTCGGTGAGGTTATAATAGAATTCAGTGTCGTTGAGAGGAAAGGTTCAAGTCATAGGAAGAAGAATACACCACTGGGAGTAGAAGAGAGAGAGCAGGATCAGATACTGAAGGTTCACAGCTTTTCAATGTTTTCATGTGTTGTTAGGAAGAGTGCGAGGTTTATATGTTCTCGATAAGTTTTGTCTGACATCTTGGTGAATCCGGCAGATGAACCCTACTCTCTACTTTATTCTAGTACTTGTTAATTTCAACAGAGCAATGATCTCACAATGAATATCTGACAGGGCTGTTGATGTGTGTTACAGAACTGTATTGGTTCGTTTATTGTCTGTAGATTTTAAGATGACTAGTTGCCATTGGGGGCTGATACTCGTGGTCATTTCTCACTGCGGTTCTTTCCAATAATTTTTCTTTAGTGTGTTACTCTC